TTGGATTGTAGACAAAGCCATAAGAAGAGAGAACGCAGCAACTGCAAAATACAGAGCCACTTTCGTCCAATACTGCCCAGCCATATTTCTCAGCAAAATTTTTTTTTTGCTGGAAGGTTGTATGTATGGTAATAAAAACTAATTCACGCACAAATTTGATAGCTCGGTCCCAATAAACAGTAATGAATCACTGTGTCTTGCACTTTTCGGGTCAAAACTAATAAAGTTGATAAACTGTTGGTGCTTCTTCTGGAATTAAAACAAACAAATTGTTATAGTTTCTTGTTTTACAATGAAATTAAATAGTAGGAATGACAAAAAAGTTGAATGGAAAAATTTTTTCCAAAAAAAACAGTGAAAAAGAAATCTTCAGCTGATTAGCAAGGTGAGTTTGAGGTTAAAAAGGCAAGCTTGTTGTTTTAAACAAGAAACGTTACCCGTCTTTTTACTGAATTTGTTTCGGAAACGTTATTTTGGAGCCAATTATGATTTTATGATGTAAGTAATATTAAAAATCTTAATACAGAAGAGAGCCTGTATAAAACGAATACTCAACAAAAGAAGAAAAAGGTTTTTTTTTCAAAATCATAGCTAATTTCCTTTAACGGCGACAAAATTTGGCATAATGCGGGCACCAGCATTACTTTGCCTAATTGTATTTACGCGGAAAATTTCTGTTCAATCTGAGTTTGTTTCAGGTTGATCTAACTAGCTAGTAAACTTCTTTCTAATTAAAAATGACAAAACTAGAAATCCCCTTTGTTGTAAATACAAAAAAAGCATCAGAAAGCTAACATGTATTTTTTGTAGCTATTTTTTTGTAAGTATAAAAGTGGAAATTGACTCTTATAACCGTTTTTGAAAGCTCAAAATCGAAAGTTCAAACAAGAAAGATACTTCACAAACAACTAAATTTTAGAAAATTAGTGGTAGTTTCAGAAATTCCGGTTTTTGCCTAATTAGAATTAATAATGCGTTATATTATTTTACCAAAATCGGTTGCAGAATTAGATTGACTTAACAAACTGAAAATACGGCAGCTAATTGAGCCAAATATTTCGTTGCTAGATAAGAAACTTATAATTTTTTTCTTGACATGCTCCCAAAGCTGAGCTGTTCCGGACATTTTCTAAAGAATGCTGAAAATTCAAGGTTTTGAGCTGATACGAGCAGTTTTGGTGGTTCTCATTTTCAGAGTAAATAACGAAGCGTTTTCTCGGTCGATTTTTTCCAAAAACAATTTTTTCTTAAAATAATTTTGAGTAAAAGTTATACAGCATGACTTTTAGTTTTTTAGCTGATATTTGAAACTTAAACTGCGACAGTTTTTGCAATGCTATTAGGGTATGATAGTTGCCAAATTGGCCAATTTGGGAAAAACAGCCGTCGCAAAACATCCAATTTCTAATAGTCTTCGAACCAATCCAGCTCAGATATCATTCCAAATTTGAAAACAAAGGCTACTTGATCCTTACGTTGCATTCGTTACATCGTATTCAGATTACTATTTGAAAGTATTCGTTTTTTAGAGTAAAAAAATACTAAAACTCTTATCAATCTAACTTAAAATAAATAAAAGGTAAAGATTAGAGTTCAATTAAAACGTGTGTTGTTTATAACTTAGACAAAAAACCCGACGCTCGCTCACTCCAAAGGAGGCACTTGCGATAGTCGAGGTCATATATGACCAATTAATTAAAATAAAATAATTGAATGAGAACAATCACAACACTTCACCTAGCTGCGAAAAATTTAAACAAGGTAATGTACAAAACAAGTGATCTTTTTCTCCCTCTCAGAACGAGAGGAAGGAAAAATGAATATAATCACATCTAAATAGATAGCAAGAAATTAGTTTATAAACTGCAAAATGCAAAGGATGCTTTGAACTTCAAGATTTCATGAAACGGTAATGAAAGGTAAACGTTAATGAAATGATTTCAAACGATTGAGTCCATTACTTTTTGAAATTCATATGGCATATCGCCAAGTACGTAAAATCCTGTTTAAAGCTGATATGTACCAGCTATACTTCCTCCAACGATACTGAAATTACACTGTTTACCCATGAAGTCAGCTAAGCTTAGTTGGCTCTTAGCATTTTTATTAATGTCTAAACTTTGAACCACACTTCTACGTCGGGTTTTCCTGAGAGTTGAGATGCAACGTTATCTACTAGTTCAAGTGAGTTTGGCATCTGGTATTTATTTTTTGGAATTTGCTTGAGTAAATTTTTTGAAAAACGCGAGCCTCATTGATTTATCTTTCTTGCAGTTAACTACTATTGGGCTGATAAATCTATCTTTGTCGCGTGTTTCTAGCATTTTAATGTGACCTTTTGTCCCTACGTCCTTTTAACTGTATTGATTTCAGCGGGTGGTGAAAATGGATAATCTTGAGTTGGTTATTTATTTCACCATTTCTGTTGAACAATTTGTTGAATTTTTTAAAAATGGTGTGAGTGTAATCCGACGGAGTTTATGAATGACTTACTTTCAATGCTAGTTTCGGAGTGAGGAAAAAGTTTTTGCACGACTTCCATTCCGACGTGTGGTAGATTGTCAGTTCCAAGGATGTTTCGTTCGCGCCTATCATTTGTGAAGAAAGCTGCATTATCGTACGTTCATTCGTTGGATCCTATTGGTACGATGAATTAACCCACAATCTTTCTTGGGTCACCCCAGAAGCCGCAATAGAGGTCTTTCATTATAATAAAATATCCTAAAGCTCTAACTAATCTAATTTAAAATTTATAAAAGATAAAGATTACAGTTCAATTAAAATGTGTGTTATACATAACTAAGACATAAAACACTGACGCTCGCGCACTCCGAAGGAGGTCACTTGGGATAGTAAAGGTCATAAAAGACCGGTTAATTAAAACAAGATAATTGAATAAAAACAATTACAGCATAGAGAAAACTACATCACATACTTTAAGACTAATTTTAACTTCCACGAGTCTACTCAGAACTTCAAGTTTTAGCTGGACTTGCTCGGTAAACGAGCGTTCATCAAGTCAATGCGCTGCCAGAGCGTTTTTGTTCCTTATTTTGAAGAAAATGTCGGAAATAATTATGCCCAGTACAGTTTTTGTTTTTTGACAAACTTTTGATTTTTAGTCTAGGTTTTTTGTTCAAATCTTCTGATGATTTCTGATGCAGTGAGCTCAGAATTAAAACTATATATTTTTAACCTACATTTTTTTGTCTAGGTTATGGGGCTCAGATAATTGCCGCGACTTAATTCAGCAGGGAAGCAATTTTTGAATTGAAACAACTGTCTTGAATGGCAGTCGAAACAATGAGAGCTTCTTCCTGCCTGATATGAGCAGTCTTGTTCTTAGTCCTAACTGCAATTCAATTATTAAATTGAGGATATTTTTTTCAGCCATCAGTTACCATGAACTCGCTCATATTTGAAACAACCAATAAATTCTACTTCATGGTGGATCGAATAGTCAGCATATTTTTTGGATCAGATGAGAAGAAACGGAGCCTCAAAAAGAACTTGTAGACGATCAATTGTAGTATCACGTAGCGAACGTGCAACGTTTCAGTATTTCGAAACCGCCTCTTCAGCAGCCAAAAAATCTGATCTTAATACCATCCTTTTAACACCACTCAATTGCAGCGGCGTAAAAAAAGCAACCGATTAGTTTTACATAAATTACCACAAATTTCACATGTACAGAAGTCGAAACAGTTTGTTTGTGGTCAAAAAAACATATCTGAATTGGGTCGGGCAAAGTCGATACAAGCCAAAATTTGGTCTAAAAAAATGAAACCTTAAAACATATATGGGGAAACAGTCAGAGATATCGGCACTAAAAAAACGATTTCGGATCGATTTAAAGTGAAAATACGCAATGAAATCATAGAAAAGAATCATTGTAAATTAGATTATGGGCAAAAACCATAGTTACAAATCAAGAAGTCTTTTATGTCTTGTTAATTATGTCACCACACGCGATGGATGTAAAATTAAAATGATGGGCAATGATTAAATGCAACAAAAAATCAAAACTCATGAAAATAAATGGAAAAAAACATTTGAATGAATTCAAATCCGTTTTAATGTACCTAAAAGCAAAAACAATTCAAGACTCAAAAAAATGGATTTTGTTGCTTGCAACAAGCAACATAATGGAATTAAATCAGAACTGCAAATTAATAATAGCCAAAATTTAATTTAAACCAACGAAGATTCTTTTAAATGTTTGATTTAAGCCACGCGGGATTTATCCCCCTTTATTTGTTATAATTTTCACAACAGCTTGTAAAACTGATCCACATTAAAAAAACAGCAGTTGTGTGGGCCTCGTGATTCTGGTTTAGACAGATAGAGACTGGATCGGGCTCATAGCACAAACTCAACGAGTAAAAAAAAATGCGATACAGAGTTCTTGTTTTGTAATACTAGCATTGAATACTCGCTGCAGGCATAAGCCAAACACCCATTGAAGTTATATTGACAATTGCAAGATTTCTCTACTTCAATAAGAGATGTTCAGCTTCATTTTCTTGGTATACGCAATGAAGCAGGTATAAACTGTTCCCCTCCCTCTGATACAAAGTCATATAATCGGTTGAATAACACTGAAAGTAAATTCTCAGCTATGTCAAGCTGAGTTGGTCCGCTATTGAAAACTTATAGGCTTCGGTGAGAAACCAGAATTAAATCGTTTTAAAGATGATTTGGATCAAATATTTTAGCTTGGTTTTAAGATCAATTTAAATCGATTTAAAATTGATCCAAATCCATTTCAATTTTTTATGTCTAATCTTCGTACTTTTTTCATACTTAAGTGGCCTAATCCTTTTCTGTCTGTACGGGATTCTTTAAAGCTTTTTAAAAAATGTAGCGTGAGGAGTTGAAATGGAAGCATCGATTTTTGGTTGAAATTAAAATTAACACCATAACAAATAAGTAGAAAATACAGTGCGGTTATAGATGATTACATTATCTATATATCGAATAGACGGAAAGATTAGATTTACCTGTTGAATAGTTGACAACGTCACCAGAAACACAAAACCAGCAACTGCAGTGTAAATTGATGCCTTTAAGAGGTTAGGCCGGCCCATCATTCCAGAAGTTCGAGAAAACGGTAGACGATTATTTTGCGATGAAATTTATCTTTTAATTTGGTTGGAGCTTGATAATTATGTCAGGTTTTCGTTTTTACATCCGAGTCTTTCTTTATAATTATAGTTTTTTCAGTTAGGAAAAATATTTTGAAAATTCACGCATTTTTCTTGTTTTCAGAGGAAGTTATTTATGCAGTCATTTTAAATATGAGCTCAAGAGGATATAAAATGAAGCCGATTGATAATCAATTCAAAATTGATTAGATGATAACCTTTTTACAATTTTTTATTTTTTGCGTCATATGCAGTCAATTAATAATCAATTTAAAGTTAATTAGATGCTAACCTTAAGAATTTTTTTTCCACATCCTGTAAAAAAGCTATCGCATGTTTGGCAAAAAAAAAATCAAACAAAAATTACTGAGCAATACTACAAAGCTTGAGAAAACATCTTTGAGTAACATTTCAATCCTTTATTAGATTCAAAACCCGATAATTGAATCATAAATTGCGCATTTAAAAAATTGAGAATATTGATTTTTAACCTTAATTGAACAAGTTAGCTCCCGTTCATTACTTTTAGGAAAAAATTGTCAAATCAATTGTGATAATTTAATTAGAAAATTTCTGCGAACAAAAACAGTAAGACATTTTTTATTTCAAACTAAAAGCCAAGTCATAAACCGAGTAATTTGTCTCTATTTCAAGTTGCCCCTCGTATCACTGACCGTGGTTGCATAGCAAAAAGTAGATGGGTCATAAACATGACACGTTATAAAATAGTCAAATACTATATTGGTTAATATTTTTATGATTGCCTAATACTATCGATTGTTATTTCTTATTTGTCTAATTTTTTTTACTCAGTTTTTTATTTGTCTACTTTTTGACGAGTATGAAATAAAAGTTAGTTAATTTTGATCGCACTCCAACTTAAAATGTTTTTTTTTTAACGTGGTTCCTTCGAATCGCAGACGAGCTATCAGTATAGCTTTAACAGCCCTGTCGAGGATAGTCAGTTTGTATTATCTCCCAACATTCCAGATTGTGTTATTTTGTTGAGCGACTCTCTTTTTTGCGACTCAAGGCCGTTTTTTGCGTCTGGAACTTTTATCATGTACCACCATTGCAGCCGAAATCGGTCGCGCTGTGGTAGACCTGAAGCTAGAGGTCAAGTGAGAGCTCGTCCTCACACATTATTATTGCCATGGCATGGGATCGAATTTTTTGAAGTTAAAAAAGTCTCAAACGCACTGGTAGCAAACAACGCCACAAGACGTAGTTGGCCTCAAAGGTAACATACAAATTCAACTCATAACTAACTGACAAAAATGACGACCCTAAAATACCACATTCTCCCTTTCAAATAAAAGCGTATAACAATCGATTTGAAGTTTCAAACACCACTGTAGCAAAAAAAGATGTATTAGATAAGGTGTCGACCCTTTCCTTTGACAATAAGGATACAAAAAGTGGTGGCATATGAATTCAAAACAGACCATTTTGACCCTGGCAAGCATTTGACCAAGAGTAAAAAAAATTCATGTATAGCAAAAATTCCAAAATAAATAGCTGAGGAACAAAAGTTCAATGAGTGATTGTTTAAAAATTCTAACTACTCTGGTTTTATGATGAAATCGAAGTTAAAGTTGAGTTAAAAGATGAGTTAAATCAATCGAACTAGTCGTTGAATCAAAAATTTAAACAGCAAAATGAACAAGGATGTGCAAAAGCTACACAGCTGTTTGGGAGATACCAGATAAGATGGTAGTAAGGTTTACCGCAAAATAAAAACAAGGATAGCCGGTTACTGTGCAAGCAGAAAGAATGTTCCGACCATAAATTGTCGTAAGAAAATTACGGTTTAGAAATTTTTTTTCCAAATTGGTGTTGTTTTTTTCAGCTTGGTGTGATAAAAGGATCTGACGAAAAAATACAATTGAGGCATATTAGACAGTCGTAGTGATATAGGCAACTTGGACAAAAATTTTCGTAGAAAAATTACTAGAAAAACTTTTTAAAAAAATTGAAGCAAAAAAACTCTAAAAAATTGTTTTACATGCTTAAAACTAAGTTTTAATGTCTCAAATTAGGCATAATTCAGCTTAAAAGCCTACACGTTCACGCCATATTAATTCGAAATAAGACCACAAATCAAAAACTTCAAACCGGTTTTTCTCAACACTGAGACAATTTTTTGGACATTTTTCAAGGTCGTTTGAATCACGAAAGATTGAAAGTGCTCCCATATGATATATCACTCAACCCAGTTTGTTGATTATTGTGGTACCTGATTTTGCGTGGGAAAAAAAACAAAAAATACACACACGAATACAAAGTTCCTCCCCATTTTCAATGGTCGGAACAATAAATGAGTTGTGTAGCAGCACTGCAACGCAGCAAAGAGTATATGACTATACTGTACATACCCCGTTAAAAGTTTTTTTTTCAAACAATCAGATGAAATGCTTTCCTTTGTCCACCGAGAGAAATGTGCCATAAGTCAGCATAAAAAATTTAAGACCAACGCCATAGCCCACTTGGATAATCATATATCGAGGTATTGAGCCGCTCAGTAGAGTTTTGGGGTCTTCTTAATTGCTATACCAGGAAGAAGAAAAACTGTGAGGACAGTCAATACAAACAGCAAAGAAACGAAGTTTGATTAATGAATCGCTCAATTTGAATAACTTTTAAGAAGTACTTTTTAGTACAAAAAGGAGGTTTGTAGTTTGAAGCAGAATGAGGATTAAAACTGGAGATGTTTGAATTCTACTAATAACGTTAAGATTCAGTAGTTTAAGTGGAACTAAGATGAAGTTATATTCATATGTGGCTCCCGGCATGAGCAGGATTAAGTTCGAAAGTCAAACTTTAAACAGAGGAAAAAAGTCTTCATAGATTTGTCACCAGGTTGTGGTAACATAGGTATCTAGTATCTAGGTTTGTTTCAAATGTTTGGACTGAACGGTTTCTTAGTGCATTCAACGTCATTTTTCCTCCCAATATGTCACTGTTACCTGCAATCGAATCGAAAGGAAACCACTGTTCCAGCGGAGCCATGTTGGCATTAGAATGTAGAGATAGTCCCTCCTCAGAGTTAGAAGACACCACGGAGTTGAATGAAGTCTCCCACGCTGAGTTTTCGAGAGTCTTGACTACTAACATTCTGGAGGTACCGAAACCAGAGAGCTCGCAATCGGGGAAAGGGTTACCAGGTCATCAATCCCTCAAATTACGAGAGGCTCAGATGGCCCCAAGAGGCTCAGTTTCAGGGTTATGAATTGGTATTTTAACTTGTTCTCCAGAGCGCTCATCAGAATTCTTCTGAGAAAGGCTGGTGGAAACTCTTTCCCCAGTAATTGAGTTCTGTGCTCAAACCTCCGTGTCTTGAGTTCTGTGTCTTGGTTGATTTTTCAATGGAACATCCTGGGGTTTCAAACTGGTCCGATTTTGGGACTCACTTGATGTCGGCGTCTCTGTAGCAGTCTCGATAGAGGTAGGTTGAAATCCGCTCTTCGGTTGTGTATCAGTTTCACTTCTGATTGGTGAAGCCACCGTTGCATTGAAAACGCTGCTGAATGTAGGTTCTGCAATAGTACTAGAAACTATCCGCTTAGCTGTAGTATTCGGTCCAAATAATTCATCAGGGCTGCTGATAGTAACTGTAGCACTCGGGTTTTCTAACTTCAGAATATTAGCGTTCTTAGCATAAAGAGGCTGACTTGAAGTACAAAGGTATTCCTTGATGTCCTTTAGGATTTTTGGTTCACTTGAAATCTCATCCGACTCTTTCTCTTCGAAAGCCTATAGCTAGATAGTGGTAGTTGAAAAATCTATTGTGATGATCGCAGGGTACGCAACTTGTTTATTCGATTGGGATCAAAATGGGTTTTCAATCGTCCTGTAAGGCAAACTCTTTTTCATTTAGAAAAGTATCTCGTGAACTGCTTACGGCTGCATTGCGACGTGAAATTATTAGTCTTATAAAATAGCCCGTTTGTTTCTAAAATTTTGACGTGTCAGACATTAAAAGTTTCCTGGATGTCTTTTTTTCGGTTTTAGTGAGGCGTAAAAATAGATTATCTGACGCCTCTTTTTTTGGGCTTTTTGGGCTGAATGGATTGTGTGTTACTTCTAGATTTCGTATAGTTTTAGATTTCTTAATTAGCTTTCGTATATTTTAGTGTTATTTAAGAGTTTTTCCAATGTATTTCAAGAGAGTGACTCATCAAGTATCGCATGTTGTATGTTCTCCGGTATGCCCCAATCCTCCCTTTCTGCTCGGCAAATTAATTTTCCCCTTGTCTAGATAATTTCTTCATAATTCAGGTTTTGTTTGACTGCCAAATTTTTCATCTTCTTTAGCCCTTAAACATGAACCTTGATCTGTTCTGATGGTATTTGATGAGCCTTAAAGGGCTATTTTGTTCTGTATGAACTCTTAAGCTGGAGTGCTAGTAATGATTTGTGCTGATAGACACTTTGAAAAATGATCGATACACACAAGGATGTATACGCTAGAGCCAGTGAAGTCGAATTTCCAATATCGTTCTGATTATACCGCAGGATACAATTCTCTCACATCAGCCGAAGGTCTAACTGGTTTTAAAACCTTACTGGTTTGTACATACTAAATACAGTTTCCTCCAAGGACTTCAGTTTAACGACAGATTTTAGAGCATCAAAAACACTAGATGGCTGAGTTATTCATTGCGAACTGGCCTGCGTACGTTTCTTGTAAACTCGATAGCATTGGGGTTCTTACAGAACTAGGCGTCCCTCAAAGTATTAGCAGCCACCATTCTGAGGGAGGTTATCAAGACATGAGAAGAAAAGACCTCTAACTGAGCAATATCTTGTTTTCCATTTTGTTTTAGCGTTTTTAATTTTGGTGGCATCAGCTCCTTAACGGTAGGCAAAACCAAGAAACGAATATCAGAAACTGCTATCCATTGAAAAAGGAGGCCCTGAGCATGAATTGATTAGCAGTTACG